TCTCTCTCTCTCTCTCTCTCTCTCTCTCTCTCTCTCTCTCTCTCTCTCTCTCTCTCTCTCTCTCTCTCTCGGTCTTCCTCTTCGTCATGGTCTTCTGTGCAGGTGCGCGACGGCTTCTTCCACCTTCAGGTGCGCTATGGCGGACTATAGCTCTCAGCGGCCACCTCTGCTATGGCGCATCTCTCCTGCGACACGCAACTTCAGCGCGTGGAATAGCGGGTACCAGCTCCGATACCAATGCAATCGGACTCGTTCTCATTCACACTTTTCATGCATGTAAACAGTAGCGCAGCAAACTGGCGACATGCGCCCACTCAAAACTCAGAGATATAGCATCCAGATACGAGTTCACTTTCAACTGGCTATGGCGACTCAGCGCCCAAACAACTCACTGTTCACATACASCGGACCACCCTGGATATCCCACACGCGTCACTCTGAACACTCACACATACACACACACACTTCACACTAAACTACAGCTATGGCAGCTATGGCTGCCTCTACCCTATCGCTATGCTACGCTCCTTCTCTCTTGCCCACTTCAGCTCCGGGCTCTCTGCAGACCTCCTTGCACAAGTCGATGTGGCAGCGCTTCCGCGTGGCTCACGCAGGAATGAATGAAAGGCTGGGCGCTGCCTCTTGATTTATACTTCTGAAACTCGTTGGTCTGCCCTCTTCCATCGGTCCATGGTGCTTACAGTCCCTTGTGGTACTTGTTGGACCGGACTGGGACTGACTGGACCTTACCGCTGACTGAGTGGGGAGTCACTGCTAACCTACCGAGATCGTACTGCAATTGCACTGCAGTTTAGTCCCCCACTTGACTCACCACTTGACCACTTGCCCACTGGCCGACCTTCTAGAAGGACTACAGCTAAGACTTCTGGAACTCGCTAAGACTTTCGATCTACAGATCAAACCCCTACCACCTACGGACCTATGACAGCCTACCAACTACTTACGAATACACAGGTCACAGTTCAACTCTCGGGGTCTACACAGGTACTGTACACAGATAGGGCAAGGTCTAGGGATCGACTCCCTCCTACTGCATAGAGGTGAAAACCGTTTCATGTATTCTTATCTTTTTTTTTTTACAGTTTTCATTTTTTTATTTTTTAAATACCAAAAATTCAACGGCTTGGAAAAATATATATTGGGTTGGAGGGTTTGAAAAACCCTACAACCCCTTTTTTCCATTTATTTGGCGGGGGAAAATCCCCTAAGGCCCGCAGCCATGACCCAACCGCGGCAGACCGCAACGGCGGTCGAGATCCTGACCGCCGACCGCGATTGACCCCGTGGTAGCAACCACGGGGGACACATAGAAGGCAGGATTTCAAAGATTGAACCAAAATTTTAGAGGGTGAGAAAAGGAAGTCCCAACACCACCCCGACACTCCGCACGCCCTCACTACCTTCACTATCCACTCCCTTACTACAGTGTGGGCAGTCAGTCGCCTCGCATGCACCAACAACCCAAAGTTGTCATCCCGCTTGGTCTAAGCACGCAAGCCAGGTTCGCCCGTGTTCCGCAGTCCGTCACGGCCATACGTGAACCCATCACACTCGTCACCAACTCGTCGGATCACCCGACTCCGCACTCACCTTCAGACATGCTCCCCTTCAACGCACTCGTTAGCCTATCCTCTCAGCCACGCTAACTCCGAAAGTTTAGATTAGGGAGGGATTTAGTCGCGCTTGCAAGATTTATAGCAATCAGCACCTGTGCGAGATAGTCGGGATTACGCTGGGGCAGGAGAGAAAGAGGAGAGAAGGAAGTGCGTAAGATCGGCATGCCTGGGCCGCGGCGTGGGGAACGTAGCCACTCTCCACGCATTGATCCAATCATGCATCGTTCCGTCCAATGAGACGAAGGGAAAGGAGACCACAAGTTTCAGCGCAAAGAGAAATCAAGGGGGAGAAGATTACAGTTACACCCACATTCGCCAAGAAGGGAAAGAGAGAATTACAGTTGAGATTAAGATTAAGGCGCAGCGGAAGAGAACGCAAGATAGAGCGTAGCAAGGTGCGTGTGAGTGGGGAACAGCGTGCAGCTATAGCTGCAGCCAGGCAAAAATGCGATGCGCCCAAAATCCTAGCCTAATTGAAGTCCTAATTGCAAAGGAAATCTCGAATATCCACGCGATCCGCCCCGTAGTTTTCTAAGAATTCAAAAATTCAAAAGGGTTTTCCCCACGTGATGATTGCGCCAAAGTTCCTAGTCTTCCAAACAAGAAAAATAAAAATAAAAAGTCGCATCAACCGTTATTCTTGTGCTCGCTAAGGCGCGTCTTAACGATCGACAACTGCGGGACCAAGTTCTTGCAAAACGGAAAAGAGGGGAAAGAAAAGGGTGAGGGCATCCATACAATTAAACTCATAGGCCCACCCCGCTTCCCCAAAGTCCAATTGTGCAGAAGATTGCGCGCATCAGAAAATAGATCGTCACACTGAGGCATCCTCACTTCAAAATGTTTTTCGTTTTTTCAAGATTTTCATAATTTTGTTTATCTTCAACTTTACGTAGGAATTACGTGCGCCTTAGCAAACGCGCTAGGGATTTTGTTCGGCAGTTGAGAGCTCCAAAATTTGCGGCCGCACTTCCCTCTGACGTGTCATTTTCTTGCACATGAGTGTCCCCGAATCCATCTCAGAAATCTCAATGAATTTTCTGAAAGAGTTTGAATAGGCCTAGGACTTCGCACATCTAATTCCGCACGTAGATAATGCTTCTGAATTTTTCACATCTTGAACTGGTTTTAGAGCTGGATTGGACGAAGCGTAACCGTTTTGGTGCCTCTTTGTTTCCACATTGGCGCCATGCATGCAAGCTTCCCCCGCCTCCCACTGCATCCCAAAACATTTCACCCTTTCTCCTTCGCGCCTTCTTCCTTTAACCCGTAACTTTTTTCCATTGTCTTTACTTCGCGCTTCTTTCTCCCTTTCTTCATTTGAATCATGGTCCTGCTTTGCACCGCTCTTCGCCCCCTCTCCTTTCCCGCCTTCGTCCTTGTATAGGAAGGCCCTACCGATCCCCTCCCGAACCCTTGAGACATCAGACAGTAGCGTGTAAGGAGGCATTAACCCCCTCACGCTGTGATTGGATTGGATGCGAACTAACTCGTGCGAATCGATATGGCTTTCCCAAGGCGTTCAATCCTTTTTCCCCTACCCCTCTTTCCTAGCCCTTCGCCTTCCCTCTCTCCTGTCTTTTACTTCCCTTTCCGCAATTATAAAATTTGCAAGCACATCCGAAAAGCTCTTCCTCAACGCATATGCCAGCTTCATGGAAGTAGTGGCTAGATGATATGATGACAGGCGAGTCGAAAAGTCATAACGAGATGATTATAGTCTTGCGAGGCTACGCGCTGGATGACCGTGACGAAGTGCGGAATAGAAGCGAGTCGGTGTAGAGGCTAAGGCAGCGGGGTGACGATCGTTGTGGAACGGAGGTTGATACGTAGCGGTCGAGATTGCCAGTGCCCGAGTAAGGAAAGTGTGTGTCTTGATGAGTGGTTGCATCACTTGGGGTCATGACATGAGAGCAGAAGGCTTGCGGGTCTTGATTTCTCGTTCTTTTTTCCATCTCGTATTGGAAGCTAAGTTCACGGCACGCCCATCTGCTCCGGATCTCGTTGCATGTCTATATTGGTGTCTATTCTTTCGGTGCGAGTGGGGTGTACGAGACGTCGTCGCAATCTTGGAGGGTGCTATTATTTTCCTCCGGAAACAAGGTGTTATGGGTTCGGGGGTGCTGGATTTGTAATCGTCGATACTCACTTTCCGCCTTATTTCTTGTTATTCCCTTCAACGAGTTGATTGTGATTCTGTGGACGGCAGTGGCACCCCATTGGCCTAACACTCTCTACAGCGATTGTCGCTGCACAGAGCGATACCAGAAAAGAGGATTCCACTATCGGACACGTGGCGAGGACGAGTTCAAAAACAGGACGACTAGACGACGACCCTCCACGTTGAATTCTGAACTCTGTGGCGAGCGACGGCGGGATCCAATTCAAAAACGAGATCCCACGTGTGTACCCCGACCTTTCCTCGAAAAGCCATCACGTAGCCCGCATGGAAGTTCGAAGATACTTTTTGG